AAGGAGCTAATAGATGTGCTTAGAAAGACATAAAAGGCTCTACAAATAGTAGGAAGGATGCTGATGCTGGTGAGGATTAAAGCCTTGATATAGCCCTCCCCCTACATCATTATCCCATGGAGTTACCTTTTATTTGTTTGTTGTTAAGCCAAAGGGAGGCAGCGTGGTATAGTGGAAAGAGCGCTGGCCTTTGAGGTGTGGACCTGGGCGCTAGTCCCGGTCCCATCACTTTCCTGCTGTGTGACTTTCAATAATTGACTTTACAACTCTGGGCCTCATTTGCTTCATATGTAAAATGAAAGAACTGGAGTAGATGCTTTCTAAGGTTCAGATCACATCTCTGCTTACTGTGTAAGCCTGGGCAAATCACTTCACCTCCCTACATCTCAATTTCCTCCTCAATAAAATGAGAGGGCTGAACGAGATGGGGGTACCTTTCATGCAGAGATGTTGCTTGTCCCTTCCCAAATATATTGAATGTGTCCCTAGTTCAGCATTAGTATTAGTGCAGGTTACCGCTGTACGGTATTATCACAGGTCTGGATCTAATTGGTGTTGTTTGGTCATGTCTGACCCCATTTGAGATTTTCTTAGCAGAGATACTTGAGTGGTTTGGCATTTCCTTCTCCAGCTCATTTTACAGTTGAGGAAACTGAGGCAAACAGGGTGAAGTGACTTGCCCACGGTCACACAGCTAGTAAGTGTCTGAGGCTGGATTTGAACTCAGGTCTTCCTGACTCCAGAGCTAATACTCTATCCACTTCACTACCTAGCAGCCCTGGGCTCGTAGTTAGTCCCAATCGTGTTCAGTGCTTATCTCTCTTGACCCTCTTTGTGACAGGGAAAAGATAGTAGTCAGGTGGTAGGAAGCTGGGTGATATAGCAGACAGACCATGGGATTGGCTTTCAGAAGACCTGGGCTCTAGTCCTGGTTCCATCACCTTCTTGCTGTGTGACTTTCAACAACTGACTTTACAGCTCTGGGCCTCATTTTCCTTATGTGTAAAATGAAAGAACTGGAGTAGATGTTTTCTAAGGTTTGTCCCAGCTCTATGACCTCTATTGCATATGTATTTTAAAAGATGAAGTGCTATTGTTGGGGGGAATGGTTTCTAAAAATCATATGAAGAAAAAGAAATCTAATTTTTAAACACACATAAGAGGGTTCGGTCAAACTAATTTCACCTATTATAAACCCATGATCAAGAACCTTGACTGGACCCGTGCAGCTACTCAACAATCCAGTATGGATTGTTTGTTCTCACCTAGACTGAACAAAATATTCCACATGTGATCCAGCCAGGGCAGGGTAAAAAGAAATTATCTCACTAGCTCTAAAAACTAGGACTCTCTAATAGCAGACAAAAGTCACCTTGGATTCCTTGGCTGAGATATTAGATTAACTCATATTGAGCTTGCAGTCCACTAAAACCCCCAGATCATTATCAGATGCCCTAAGATCTAGCCACACCTCCCTCATAAGTATAAGGTCGCCTTTTTAAAAATGCAAGTGTAAGACTTTACATTTGTTCCTATCAAATAACATCTTGTTAGATTCGTCCCAAAATTCTAGACTGTCGAGATTTTTTTTAAACCCTGGTTTTGTCATCTGACATACTGGTTATCCCTCATATCTCTGGGCCACCATAAATCTGACAAGCATGCTATCTAGACCTTTATCCAAGTCACTGGTAAAATACATATATAGATAAAATGTGGATATAGATATAGATGAATACATAAATGTATATATGTAGTATGTATATTAGCACAGGGTCAAGGTCTAGTTCTAGATTTACATGTAGATAAATATATGTATATAATATATATACATATATATGTGTGTGTGTGTGTGTGTGTATGTGTGTGTGTGCACGTGTGTGTGTGTGTGTGTGTGTGTGTGTGTGTGTGTATTAGTACAGGGTCAAAGACAGCTTCCAAGGGAACTCCACCAAAGAACTCATCCCAAGTTGGCATCACACTATTACTAACTGCTCTTTAGGTTTACTAAGCCATTTCCAAATCTACCTAACTGTACTATTATCTAGCCTGCCTCTCTCAATTTTTTCCACAAGGAGAGCATGAGAGATTTTCAGGTGCCTTGGTAAAATAGAGGCAAACAAGGGTTTTATTTTTTCATTTTTCATGGCAAAGAGGGAAATAGAAAAGAAAATGAATGCCTGTTAATTGGGGAGGGAGGGGGAAGGAAAGTAAACATTTGAAGAATGTCCAGATAAACTCTACCTATAGCGTTCTCTTCATCTACCAATCTAATAGCCCATCCCAAAGAATGTCAGATTAATTTGACATGATCTTTCTTGATGAAGCATGATGGTTCTTTGTGATCATGGTTTCTTTTTCTAAATGATCACTAAACATCTCTTTGATACATTCTAGAATTTTGCCAGGAATCAAAGTCAAGCTCCTTGACCTCTAGTATGCAGACTCCATTCTCTTTCCTTTTTTGCTATGCAAGACTGTTTTTCTTTCTCCAGTCATGCAGCAACTTTCTTATTCTCCATACTCTGTCAAAGAGCCTTGCCACCAGAACAGCTAAGGGGCTTTAATGTAGGGTAGTCCTGAGAGGGCATCTTGAAAGTTCAAAGGTCACCAACTTAGAATGAATTTCAGGGGCTAGTTGGTTCCTCAGGAAAGACAGAATCCAAGTTACTCCTAAAGAAAAATTATAGAATAATAGAGGTAGAAGGAACATTAAGAGATGATCTAATGCCAGGGGTACTTAATTTTGAGGAATCATGTACTCCTTTGGCAATCTGATGCAATCTACAGACTCTTCAGAATAATGTTTTTAAATGCTGTACATAAAACAAAATACCTAAGACTACAAAGGAAACCAATTATATCAAAATACAGTTATCAAAAAAATTTTAAACAACTTCACAGAACCCCAGGTTAAGAACTCCTGGTTCTAATCCCATCAATGTAAAGGTGAGGTTGAATATCTAACTTGAGGTCATAGAATTAGTGGCACAGTCAGGACCACATGCCAGATCTCCTGACTCCCAAGCCAATGTTCTCTCCACAATTACACGTGAGATGCTCTGATTCTTTGAGAATGCCAGGAAAAGATTTTGTTGCCTCCATTAGTGACACCTTACTCTGCACTCATATCATTATATTTGCTATTTTCAATGCCAGGTCCTAAGGCTAGGATTTGTGAGTTCAGATGTACAGATAAAAAAACAATTGGTAATGTCAATGCCAGATAATTCCCTTTCATATTCTCAGCTTCAATTCTCCTGACTATTTCCATCCTCATTTCTGTTTCGCAGGCTCAAACAGAAGTTCTGTGTTTAACTCTAAAAGGGAGGTAGCATTTTGCTCCTTAGACCTAAGCTTACCTTAGACCTAATTTATCTTCTTGAAGGTAAGAACTAGTTTTCATTGTGTCTTTGTATCCCCCATGTTTAGCACAATGCCTTGTACATAGTAGATATTTAATAAATACTTGTTAGATTGGATCGGTTCAGACAAGTACTTTACCCCTGTCTATAGCCCAACCATTCTTAGATCACTTGGGGAAATCCTCTCCCTAAAGTCCTCTCCAAGGTTTCATCAAAAACAGTTTTCTCTCTCTCTCCCTCCCCCCAAACCGTCCTCAAGCCAGCATAGGACCTCCTTTCCCACTACAGTGTCACCAACAGCTAATAGATGTGAATGCTACAAGCTGAGTAGCCACTATGTTCAAGCAGTAAAATAAACCTTCCTTCCAGAAGCATGTCAAGAGACTAACTGACCATGAAGAATATATTAGGTTGACCATCACACATGAATATTTCCTGGTCTGACCCAAACCATTTAGGTGGCTATTTCTCTGTCACCCATTGATGGAGATATAAGACCATACTGAGGAAAGAATACAGAAATGAGAATGAGAATATCTGGGTTCCAGTCTTAACTCTGCTTAATCCTAGCCATGTTGACAAAGGACAAGTCAATTAACTTCCCTGAGGAGTAAGAGTGCCTGTTTTGGCTAATTATTCAGGGACTATGAAGATCAAAGGATTTAGGGTGGATGAAGGAGCCTTGTTCATTGAAAAGTACTATTCAAATAAAGAATCATTAACCTTAGCAGAAGGTTCAATGCCCTGCACAAAGTGGCTTTATTTGACACATAACAATAAAAAATGACTTCTTTGGGTTCCCCAGTTGTCTGATCATTTTCCTGGGTGTCACTCAAAGGCTCCGCCCTGACCGCCCTGGCTTCTGCCCCACACAGCACATTAGTCTCGTATAACTAACACAAGGTCCCTTCTCTGTGGGGTGCTCCTATCAATCATGGAGCTGCCATCAGTGAGCCACCAGTCCAGGTCACATGGAAATCATGAGCCTTGCAGCTGAGCTTAGAGGGTGGCTTAACTCATTGATATCAGGCTTACCAATGACAGCAAATGTAAGAGCTATTAGACTGAGAGATGTAATCAGCTGTTCTCCATCTCCAAGGCAGATGCAAGAAAAAATAAGCTTATAGTGTGACATGTTTGATTCGGGTTAGATGTCAGAGAGAATTTGTTTACATTGAAAATGCCCTTGTAAACAATGAAGAGGGTTACCAAGGGAGGCTATGGAATCCTCTTTTTTAAAAAGACAGATTCTGAAAGAAAACTAAATGTGAATCAGCTGTAAGGCCAGAGGGTAGACTTAACATCCTCCCAAGGTCCCCTCTAGGCTTAATATTCTCTAAGTCAAGAGTTAGTTTCTCATGAGATTTACCTAAACCTCTTGGAATCTGTTGGAACTTCAAAGATGATCTGCAAGGGAAAAAACACTCAGTGAGTATGACAAGCAGGCTTTGCGTGTGTGCATGTGCAAAAGGGTAAGACAGAAAGTGAAGAAAAGAGAAACGCCACAGTGTGTAAGTGTGCTTACATATGAGTTCATGAGAACCCTTGTGTGGATTTGAGGATAGGAGAGTGTGTAAACACCAGTGTGTGAACAAGAGTGTTTATGTAAGCCACCAGTGATCCCTGGAGCTTCTCTTAGCAGAAGTACTCATTGGCTGGGCCTTCTACCTTGGATAGCACATGTGAATCCATGCTAGAACGTGAGGAGAGTAGCCTGTCTCCCTCCTCAGGACTGTCCCTGGCCAAATCCTCCACTCCGTCCTCACTGGGGCCCAGTCTCTCAAATGTGACATATGAACTCTGGGTCTCCTCATTCTTCCTCAACCGGAATTTCTGGTAACGCCTCTTTAGAGATCCACAACAGACAAGTAAGGTCAGGGGCACAGCAATGACGGCGGCTATGCTAATCACCACAATGTTGATGAGTCTCTGGGTGCCTTCAGCATCAACCACCTCATCCGTGGAAAAGATGATACACTGTTCCTTCTTGGGGACCAGGCCACGCACGCAGACACAAGCTACATACTTGGTTTTTGGCATAAGACCCTCAATGGTGACTTTGGTTTTCCCAAGGTCTACATTGACCCTTCTCATATCCTTCTCTCCAAAGATGGCATACAGTACGCTGAACATGGTGTTGTTTCCAGCCTGGGGGGCTTTCCACACCAAGGTCACACTGTGGTAAGTGTCCCCTACCACCTTAACTGATCTCACCATTTGGGCTGGTTCCAGCTGATTCAATGGCTGGTCCTTGGCTCTATCAGCCTGCTCTTCTCCAAGGCTCCCCATGGAGAGTTCTCCCAGGGCATTCATGTGAAAATGTTGGAGAGCAGGATTCTTCTCATAGCTGGGGAGGGTAGGCCTGGCCACCGCAGAAGACAGACGGGAGGTAGTGGAGGCATATCTTGCCACTAACTCATTGTAAGCGGCAGCTTCTACTCCCTCAGCCTTCCCTGGCCATGGCCTAGTTGTGGGCCCTTGGGGCTCAGCAGTGGTCTGGGCCTCAGTGATGATGAGGGAGACAAATGCTTCAGTGGCCCCCAAAGAATTTTTGGCTTTGCAGACATACTCTCCAGAGTCACGGTGGGATACTTCGGGCAAGCCCAGAAGAGACCAGCTCATGCCATCACTGGAGGCTTCTTGATGCACTGAAAAACAAAAGAGACACACATAGGAAGCCCACAGAAAACTAAGGCAATCTGATCCTTGCTCATTCTGTAGGGGAATTCATTCAAGAGCAATCTGGATTACTGCTAGATGAGACCCATCCCTAAGTGGCATCAGCCTGATAGCCCTCAGTGATGTCATGTGTCATGAGATAGTGACCATGAAAAGCAGAAGGCCCAGCACAAACCTAAGGTATTATAGAGCTAGGCAGTCTAATGGAAAGAGCAATAGGAGTCAGAAGACTTGGGTTCTAGTCCCAGCTCCATCATTTGCTATCTAGGTGACCCTGGCCAAATTATTTAACCTCTCTGAGCCTAAGTTTCCTCATCAATAAACTCAGAACAGTAACACCAATCCCATCTACCTTGAAGAGCTATGAAGATCAAATGAGATAATGCATGTAAACTGAATAATAGTAGTACAGCATGTTATAAACTATCAAGTTATGCTAATGTAAAGAAAGGGTTTTTTATTATTGTTATTATAAAGTCAACCTTTTTTTTTATTCTTACCACTTACACTGTCTCAGAGCTATGCTTAACTAGATGTCACCATCTTGGACCCAACATCTGGGTCATAATTGTCAGAGCCAAATTTCACGGAATTCTTGGAACCTATATGACTCCTGGCAATACTGCCTCCAAACCCTTCCCAGGTACAAGAGGGTACATCTAGCATAAGGTTCCATTTCCCTAATTGGCAGACTTCATCCTTACTGAGGTTCAGCCCCCTAAGCCTGGCACTGCTCACCTTCCAAGGCTAGACATCTGAAAAGAGTCACCTGGCTATTGTAACTCACCTGTCCCATTAAGCTGATGCCCATCAGCTCTCCTCCAGCTGAGCTCTGGACTGGGTACCCCAGTGGCCCCACACCGCAGGAACACAGTGCTACCCAGAAGTGTCTTGACCTTGGCCACTGAAGTATAAACCTCAGGACGCTGGCACTTCCTGAGTTCCAGTTGGCTGAAGGCAACTCCAGCCAGGCTCCAAGGAGTAGAACACTTCAGCCTTGGATCAATGAAGGCCATATTTGGAGTTGGGAAGTTTAGGATCTGGACCATTTCATACAGGCTACAGTCACATACCCAGGGGTTGTCTTGCAGACCTGGAAAGAGAAAATGAAATAAGCATCCCATCTTCTTTCCACACTCATGATGCATTACCTCCTATCATCTTCATTCAACACACTCTTGAAAGGTAAGAGTCTCAAGGAGTCATAGTCACCTTTTCAAGACTCTGACTGAGCTCCAAGCATTGTAGTAGTAGTAGGAGGAGGAGGAGGAAGAAAAGGTGAAAGAGGAAAAGAAGGAGGAGGTATAGTAGTAGTAGTTGCTGTTGTTATTGTTGTAACCAATATTTATATAGAACTTTTTGAGAACTGAAAAAGACTTTATATATAGTATCCCATTTAAACTTCACAAAATTTGCTGTAAGTGCAATTGTTATGCCCATCTTACAGAGGAGAAATCGAAGGTTCAAAGAGGTTAACTGACTTTCTCGTGGCCACATAACTAATAAGTAGCAGATTTGGAACTCAGTCTTCCTGACTCCAAATATGATGCTCTATTCACTACACCTATGTGCCCTTTATTCTATAAGACACTCTTGACCCAAAGTGCACATGTACAGAATTTGCCCTTTTTAGTGTTTCTCCATCCCTAGGGTGGAACTAAACCATCCACATTCTTCCTCCCAAAAGAATATATTTGCCAAATGGCTTTCTGGGATTAGAGTTGGTTCCAGTCTATGGAACATATATAGATAGATAGATATGTGTATATATATATACACACACATATGCACACATATACTTATATACATATATGTTCTATATATTTTTATATGTAAATGTATAAAACATATAGACATGTACGTATGTGTAAATAATATAAATTCTATATAATTATATCACATGTGTATATATTATTATCATTATTATTATATAGAGTATCCCAAAAGTCATAGTGAAGTTTTAAGATTTATTAGTGCACACACACACACACACACACACCACCCTACCTTCAACCCATCAGCCCAATCTTTACAGCACAAACTTTTGTATCCGGAGGAAATCAAAATTAAAATGGACATTATAAGCAGACTTAAGAGGGAAAAGAATCATGATATGGCAACATGCTACCTAAAAAGTTCATGTGGAAGCAAGGATGGTGAGGTTGGGGGTGGGGGGAAGTAGTGGGTGTTAGAGGCTGATTTGACATGAATGAGCTTCAGAACTCATGTAACAATGACTGAAATAACCTCGGCCTACTTCCTTAGCAAGAGTTTCCCTGGGGCACTGCTCCTGTGCCAGCCAGGGATCTCACATATCACCTTGTCACCATTCCCCAGAAGTGACTCTTCATGCTAGGATGGAACCCAGAGACCATGGTTTTACAGACATCATGGCTAACCCACTGAGCTAACTAGCCCAAACACCACAACAAGAGGTGCCTAAAAAGAACTGATATTTTTCCTCAATGCTTTTGTGCTAAAAATTACTCAAGCAAGGGGAGAAAACTGTGGCAAAAATGCCTCAGTAGGAGGGGAGAGTGTTTTGCCTAGGGCCACACAGGTAATAAATAGCAGAGCTGGTCTTTAAACCAAGCCAGAGGGTGCAAACTAACATTCCAAAGTAAGGACTATGGATGAGAAAGGTCATATGACTACAGAATCATGGGTCTAGACGGGGCTGTTAAAGGAAGTTCAATGTTTCTTTCTGTTTGACATTTTCTTTCACAATGACATTTGTGCAAACTCTGATCCCAAACTACTCCAGGCTGCTCTATGTCTTCTATTGTGAAAAGTCATTGGATTCAGCAACATCTTCAGAAACGCAGCCCAACATTTCCTAACTCTTATGGTCAGCATCCGCAGGTCTGACTTCTAGGTCACGAGCTGGAACATCTGACCCTTTTCAACCTGTTCTATGACACTTCTTTCTTCCCTGGTGACTCTAGCCCAAATTGCGATCTCCTTCCAAATTCCTCCTACACAGATGACTCAAGCTCCTTCAATTAATTTAGAACTTAATCAAGAATAGCTTCTGTGAGACTCCATGTTCTCTAATTAGATTGAAGCTCTGTAAGAGGCATTGATTGCCCTATAATAGAAAGGTTACTAATTTTGGAGTAAGGGAACCCAGGTTCAAATACCAGCTATGCACAGGCAGTAAATATACCACTGGTGTGAGCAGGCCAGTTACTTCTGGGCCTCACTTCTGTCAAAATAAAAGAATCAGACTAAATCATCTCTGAAGACCCTTCTAATTCTAAGTCCCATGAGCCTACAAATGAGAGGGATACTTCTCAAGAGATAGTGTGATGTAATAAGAAAAATATCTCAAGGCAAAGGACCTAGGTTCCAGTCCTGACTATGCTAAATAGCTGTATGACTTTGGGCAAGTCACTTACCCAGCCTGGGTCTCAAGTTCTTCCTCTGAAAAGTGAAGAGTTTGGTCTAAATCAAGGGGTCTTAACCTGCAGTCTACGGACTTTTTTAAAAAAATTTTATTTTAATATAGCTATATTTCAGTATAACTGGTTTGCTTTGTAATATATGTATTTTATTTTATGCATTTAAAGGCATTTAGCTTCACCCAACTATCAAAGGGGTTTATGACATAAAATAAGGTTAAGAAGCCCAAGACTGGATGATCTCTAAGGCCTTTTCCTATGCTAAATTGTGTGAACAGGGATTGTTTTATGCTTTGCCTACATCCCCCAAAGTACCTGGTACAGAGAAAGATATGCAGTAGTAGGTGCTTAATACAGACATGTCAATTGACTAATTTAGAAAGAGCTAGCTGAATTCATTCTTTTGACAAGCATTTATCAAGGACCTACCAAGCACAGTGCTGTTCTCCTAGTTCTGTCCCTTTATGTGTTTGAGAATCCCTGAGTGTCTCTGAATGTTATTCTCAGGAATTGGGCTAGACAGCTTGACCTCTCTTACCCAGGATGATCTTGGAGTTATCACTGGGGGCATAAGGACCAGCCTGCAGATGAGACCAGGTGGTAAGAAGCTGCTGGGGAAGACGCATCAGCTGATTGCTGGAGAGGTCCAGGAAAGTGAGGTTCCTTACATAGCGGGCAGCCTCTGCGGACACAGCTGAGAGGCGGTTCCCATGCAGATCAAGCAGCCTTAGCTGTGGGGTATCCCCAAGAGCTCCCCAGGGGAAGGATACCAAGTGATTCCCAGGGAGGCGCAACTCTTGAAGCCTCCGCAGGCCCCGCAGCATGACAGAACTGAAACTGGTCATGGAATTATAGGGCAGCCACAGGTACTCCAGGCAAGTGAGCTGGTGGAGGGCATCCCCTGGCACTCTCCGGATGGACGTCTTCTCTATTCGGAGCTTGGAGGTGTCCAATGGGATCATCATGGGAGGGAGGGTCATCTCGGGGTCATTGCACACGACCACCCTGGGTCAGACATAAAACAGAAAAAGGACAAAATACTAAGATTTAGTGATGATTTCATGTCATCCTAGTTTCATATGCCATTGCCACTGGCTTCCAATGGCACAGCCAATACATTGTGCCAAGATTCATTTATTTTTCTCATAAAGAGTCTGTACAAAAGGTGTAAATAGTCTCAAACAGTCAATAAATTCCACAAATATTTATAAAGCACTTACCATTTGGTAAGCACCATGTAGGATTCAAAGAAAACAGTAAAGACCCTTCCCTCAAGGGGTAAATAGTCCCTCTAGAGTTAACAGAACCACAGAATCTGAGATAGGAAGGACATCTAAGGCCATCTATCTAGTCCAAATCTTACCTGTATAAGAATCCCTTCTCCAGCAACCTTCAACATCTTAACTTTATGATCTCCAGAGAAGGGGAAGTCACCATCTCCCAAGGGAGACCATTCTACTTTTGGACAGCTCCAAATGTTGGAAGTTCTTCCTATCATTAATCATAGGTGTGCCTCTCCACCATATCTGATCATTGTTTCCAGTTCAGCCCTTTGGGGTTGAACCAAATCCCTCTTCCGCACTGGAGCCTCCAAATACTTGAAGACAGTTTTTATGTCATCCTTATCTTCTCTTCTTCCACATAAACATTCCCATCTCCTTTGGCCAATCCTTTCATGGTATCCTGGTCACTCTCTTCTGGACACCATCCAGATTATCCATGCCCTCCCCAAAATATGTTGGCACAAAGCAGTTCGTGTGTAGTCTGACCTGGGCAAAGTACATCAAGACTTTCACCTCAACCCTTAAGAGCAAGATCTGGGTTGTATATAGGATATACACAGTAGATGCTTAATAAATTTTATTAAATGAAGTAAGGAATGAATATGTTCAAGATGTCTATGTGAAAGGCTGAATAATGGTTAAGATAACATTCAAAGAGCTGCCAACATGCTAAATGCCAAGTGAGTAGAACAGACAAGATGTGTTATAGGAATTCCAAAGAAAGAGAAATCACTGTGGGCTAAGGATCTTAAAGCTATCACTAGTCTCTGTGCTCTTTCTTTCTCTCTGAGGTCCTGTCCTAGCTCACAGCCATGTCACTTTTCAATCCTTTACATCTGTATAATACTCAAGATTCATTATGCCCATATAGACTTCCTCCTAGATTTTCATGTCTTGGTAGTAACCCCATGACATAAAATCATAAAATTTGACTTGGAGTAAGCAGACCTAGGTAAGGCTTTTCTGGGTCTTAATTCACTCCTCTGTAAAAAGAAGGGGTTGAACTCAGTGATTTCTGTTGACCACACTCCCTTCTCCTAGGTATACTCTCCACCCATGATATCCATGACACCTCTCTCTCTTGGCTCTCTTTCCATCTGTCTGACCACTCTTTCTTAGTCTCCTTGGATGGATCATCATTCTTCTCTCATCCACTAAGTGGGAGTGTCCCCCAAGTTTCTGTCCTGTGTTCCTTTCTCTACCTTCTCTCCCTCGACCATCTTATCATCTACAATGGATTTAATCATCATCTCTATGCAAATGACTCCTAGATCAATATATTCAGCTCTAAACTCTTTTTTCAACTCCAATCTCTCATTACCAATAGCCTCCCGAACATCTCTACCTAGATGCCCCTTAGTCGAACTCAGTATCTTTAAACTAATATTCCTAAAGCTAGGATCTGGCCATGTAACTCCCCTACTCAAAAATTATCTCTAGGTTATTCAAAACCCCATGTAAGCTGTCACTCACCTTCCTTTCCAGTCTTACTTTAAGTACCCTCAGGGGTGTGCTAGTAAATGTCTCTAACAACCAGCTCTTTGTAGGGAGGGGATAATATTCCCATGACACACTTTTAAGTTTAATCTTAATTAACATTTCCTCCACCATCTTCTTAAGTCTAGAAATCAATAAAACAAAAAACCAAACCATGATGTGTAGCATTTGCCAATTTCTAAGATATAGATGCTCACACTGAAAGTGTAATGATCATTTCTTGGAATCAGTTTGAGCTGGCTCCAGCACACCAATCCCTTTTATGTAGTCTCAGTTCCAATCAAATTGGCCTGTTAACTATTCTCCATGTACAACATCTTCTCCATCTTCTCCATGAGCACCTTTGCACAAAGTAGTTCCCTTCTGTCTAAAATGTTCTTTTTCCTTACTTCTCCCTCTCAGAATCCCATTTCCTTCAAAGCCTTTCCTGATATCATTAGCTATGAGTCTCTCTCTCTGAAACCATTTTCTACATACTTTGTGTTTACTTATCTGTGTCCAGATTGTAACTTCCCTACCACCCAGTAAACTACAAGCTCCTTGAGGACAAGGACTGTTTCATTTTTGTCTGTGTATTCTGTCTTCAGCATAGTGCCTTGCACGTAGTAGGTACTAAACATATGTTGGTTGGATTGAATTGCATTGAATTGAATCTGAGGAATTTTCCACATAGGAAATTCTGTAATCCTAAAATTCCATGAAGGAAATATTTCCCAGTCACACTCTCTTAAACACCAAATGATAGTGGGAAAAACATTAGAATCAGAGTCAGATTCAGTCCCAGCTCCTTCACCTCACTAATTATGTGACTGTGAGTAAATTACTTAGTAGCTTTCAGCCTCATTTCACTTATCTGTAAAATAAGAATTAAAAAATATTTGACATGGCTAGGACAGTTTAAGTGTTCTATGTAAATATGAATGATAAAGAGCAGCAGCTTCTTGGTCTTCTGAGGGCTCACACTTGTTCATTCTGACTAACCCTATGCAACAAATGAAATCAAAGGTTTCTTGTAAACACCCGGCTGAGTGCTTTTGCCTAGCCTTCTCCAGGCCATGTTGAGAAGACTCTCAACATCACAGCTACATTTTCCCTCCCTTCCTTTATTTTCCCTCCCTGGTAATTTCCAAGACTTTGAGGAGAGAGGATAATAGGGTTTCCTAGTCTTTCCAATAATTGCCTTAAAGCAAATTAGTTCCAAAGGGACACATTAGGTGTATAAACAATAGGAATTGCTATCATCAGAGCAGTAACTAACAATTTTGGATCCTTAGGGCAAGCAGCACTATGTGCCCATTCAAATCATCCCTGGAACATGGACCTCTGTGAAGAAGAGAGACCCCAGGATATTGGCACTCATCCTAGGACATCAAAAAGCTGCTTCTGGGGAGGCCACTATCTGGGAAAGAATAGGACAGGGTTGGGCCAACTGATAACTTCCTAATTGAGATAATAACCTTGCTAATTTGCTAACTAGTTTCTAGGCTAGTGAGGGAACAAAAGTACCATCAAACTGTAAATGAAGCATATTTTTAAAATTGCACAATCTTTTTTATTTAAATTGTTAGGCCATATTTTTGCACCTCTAAATTTCTGCACCCTGGGAGAAAGTACCAGGTGCCCCGATGGAATTATATCTCTAGGTTTCATAAACTCTTCCAGGAAGTTGCATTAAAGTAAAAGCTGTTACTCTGCCTTAATAAAGAAACTTCTCTCCCCTTGGGAACTTCCAGGGAGGGGAGGGAAGAACTACTCTGATTCTCTGCTGCAATCAATAAAGAATACCAAAGCATTTCTTATTTGCGATGTTCTAGCAAACATTTAGTCAAAAAGAAATGATTGCAGTTTAGTTTCATAGTGAAATGAGGGTATTAGCAAAATTGAGGCTGAGAAACAGAATGGTCCAAAAATGGAACAGGCTGCCTCCTGAAAGAGTGAGCTCGCAATCACTGGAAGCATTTAAGTAGAAGCTAGCTGGCCATCTGTTCAGAAAGCTACTGTACAGGAGATTACTTCGTGGACTGAATGGGTGAGAGACAGGAGAGATCACCTCAAATATACCTCCTGAATCTCAGCATCTAAGATTTCATTTGCTCCCTTTGCTTGAGGTGTTGACACGTGACAGACACTTATACTAAATACCATCTCAGGTTTCCAGACCATGTGAAATGTTCCTCCTAGGAGATTTCTCCCTGACTGCTTCAACTGTTCTCTCCAGAGACTGTATTTGTGGGACTGGTTGTGTGGAAATATGGAGAATTTTCCATGCAACCCAGGATGGCAGCTCTTCCATAAGCTAAGAATGCCTAGGGTGGGGAGGAAGGGGAAGGAGGGACTGTTACGCTAGGAAAGAGGAGGAAAAGATCCAGATGCTTTGCTATAGCCTAACCAGGGTCGCACTCTTGTTCAGGTCCAGGGTTCCCTTATAGCCTTGCTAACACAGATGGGAAAGGGAGGAAACAAGCATTCCTACTATATGCCAGGCACTGCGCTAAGTGCTTTACAAATAGTATCTCATTTGATCATCATGAAATTTGATTATCATGAAAGGCTTCCTAGACGTTAGGGTCTCCAATATGAAATCAAAGACTACAGGATATAGAGCTGTAAGGGACCTTAGAGATTTATCAGTCTAACCCCTCCATTTTATGAATGAGGCGCCTGAGACCCAAAGAGGTCACGCAATCTGCCCAAGGTCAAATGGGTGTGAAACAGCCTAAACTTGAACCACTTTAAATAACAGCCAAGAAAGGAGGTGTCCCTCTATTCTGTCCCTTCCCAGACACAGGGCCCCCATTGTGAGAACAGAAGGCAAGTTAGGTATTCGGGCAGTGCCTGAGTGTTCCACTTACCTGTTTTTGGTGCCATCGCTGAGGCTGTGTAGGCTACAGCTACATTGGGAGGGACAGGAGCCAAGCGCATGGGGAAGACCCCTGAGGGCCAGGCACCAGAGTACTCCCATGGCCACCCACATGGCTCCAGCCTCCCAGATTCAGGCCCGGGACAGAGGGGTCCCTAATGGATCTTCCCCAGGGTCGGTTCCATCCCTTGAGCTCACAGTCCTTTCGGCCCAGTTGACGCAGTTTCCCTTCCCCCTCCCTCTTCTCCGGCTGATGCCATCGGATAAAAGGATAGGCTGCGGATTAAGGAGAGGGACTGGAGCTATGTTCACGTGGGTGCTTATTGCTTCCTGGAATATCCCAAGTATGGGGGGGGGGCCCTCCTCCTAGCAAACAACTTCAAACAGAGATCCCCATAGAGATTTGAAGAACCTTAGTCTTGAGGGAGGCAAGTAGAAGGTGATGGGGACCATTGGATTCATGGGTCCCCAAGTAGGGAAACTTCATGGCATTGCAGGACTTAGATCTGGAAGGTACTTTTGAGATCATCCAATCCAACCCTTTCATTTTGCAAAATAATCATTCTGAGGCTTAGAAGGAGAAATGATTTGCCCACAAAAATGCAGGAGTGCCTTCCAGGGGTGGAAACCTATACAAGTGCACAGAGGCTGCAGGCCAAGTTCAGGCAACAGCTACCAGTCCAGTTTGGCTGAAGCATAGATGAAAAGAAATACTCTTAGATAAGGTGGGAATCAGGTTGGAGCCACATGGTAGATCAAACCAAGAAGTTTACATTTTATCCTGGAGGCAACAGGGAATCACTAAAAGTTTTTGAATAGGGCAGTGACATTTCATCGTTTGATTCAACGAAAAAAATTTCATTAAGTATCTAGTAGATACAGGGTTTTGTACTATGTACTAGGGATACTAAAAAAAAAAAAAAAACATTTTTAAACGAGATGTAACCTGGGTTTCCTGCCAATCCTGGAACATTTTGGCTAAAATTCTCCTAAGTGGTTGAGAGAATGTTGAAGCAACATTATAGTGAGGGGTGGAATTAACATGAGAGTTTTGAAGAGAAAAGACATTCTGAGAAATAGAGAGAAAGACAGAAAGGCAGACAGACACATATATGGTTCTAGACTCTCTTTAGAACTGACTTCAGGGAGGTGAAAGAGAAAAACTGTCTTTCAAACACATAGAGGAAACCAAGTCTTCAATATGTGCCTGATTTCTATATTGTCTCCCTAGAGATTTTGGGAAATTTCCCTTTGGGTGAGGTTGGGGCTTCCGTTGAAAGAATAAAGAAAATCTCTCCTCTCCAAAGCCCATACCAACTCTTCCCCTTGCAGTCATACAGGGAGACTTCAGTATTCTTTCCAGCAACCAGGAGAATTTCATGCAAAATGCTCTAGGCTTGACTGGAAATCCAAGTTTCAGACACCTTCTCTGCCCTCAAGAACTTATAATTTGTACATCAAGAAACATTTAATAAGCACTTAATATGTACAAGGCACTGTGTGAGGTGCAGGGAATACAAGGATGACACCTACACACAATCTTAGTCCTCGAATAGCTCACTCTCCAGTAGGGATCCCTCTTTGCAAGAAGTAAGGAAAGGAACTCTTAGTCCAATGCTTGTCAGAGCCCTGGCTCTTCATCCAGCCAACTCTAGGTACCATCTTTGCTTTAGAGGAGAAAGCCACTAAAAGAGTGACTAGTTTCCTATATTACATAGCTGTTATGGGCTGTCCTCCTTGAGAACAGGAACTGTTTTTTGCCTTTCTTTGTATCCCCAGGACTTAGTATAGTTCCTGGCACATGGTAGGTTCTTAATAAATGCTTGCTGACTTGACTTCTTGGGTTGATCTTCCTGATAACACCAGTGCCAGCCCTCCATAGGGTCTCTCCACTTACTGATTGCCACAATACCTAGAACATCTAGAGAAAGTGTCTTACGGCATCTACATTCCAACCATTCGCCTCGTCCTGATTGATAAAGATGGCTTCATTTAGATAGCAAATCTCTCAACCAGAATCAGTGAGATTTATACCTAGACTTCTCAACCTGGGAGAGTACAAACCTTAAAACAAGTGCACATTCCACTGAATTTACAAGTTCTCAGGAACTTTCCTTCTAATAGAAGATAATGGAAATGCTTTCATATGATAAGAATGAAAGTCAAAGAAACTCACTTTATGGCCTTTGGCTTCCAAAACTGAATCTTTTGGTTTACAAAGTAAGAAAAAAGAAATGAATGAAATAGATTTGGTCAGGCACTCAGTGGGGGATTATTCAATAAGGACCTAGCTACAGAGACTAAGTGACTCTCAAGTATCTAAGGACCAGAAATATTGGTGGAAACAAAGACTGATCTTCCCCTCCCAGGCCAGATTATTTTCCCTTTTCCTAGCCCAGGGATACCTATGATGGGCCAGTGGGAACCAGAATGGCAACTCCCTCCATTGCCCCCATCTCACCCTGATCCTGGATATTCTCACCACAAGTACTTTGAATGAAGGAAGGACTGCCCACTGAGGGCCTAGATGGAGGGGTAAAAGAAGGGGTGTGGGGAGAACAGGAAAAGGGATGGGAGAGGATTTGAAAAGGGTAAGGGAGGGGACAAAGGAGTGAAAGGGGAGAGGCAGAGTGGGATCTGGACCTTCTACAAACACAACACTCAAGGCTAGAAGGAAAATGGCAGAGAAACCTCCAAATAAATTGTATTTTCTGTAAAGTGAAATGAGAGATAAAAGCGAGATCATATGCAAGGTCAGATTAGGTTCTGGAAACCACCATGGGTGTTTCCAACTCAGAGCCACTTTGGTGAATTCATTCAAAATCTGTACTAGGCAATAGCTTTATTTTACAGTTTAATCTCAATATCAAATAACTTCAATACTAAAGATTATTTCATTTTTTGTCTACTTTTCTCAAATTCCTTCTCTTCAATCTTATATTTGTCATAATATCATTCAATTTAAATTTTATATCATGGTTATATTTTTAACCCAGTTTTTTCTTTTCAGCCCTACATGCCTCTATGTTTCTTTTTTATTTTTTTTTTTCAGAGTGGAGCTTGTTTGTTTTTTTTAGTCTGGGTCTCCTTATCTCACTCAAGCTGGTAAATGCAATGACCAAATGGCCTGATCCCCTTGTTGATCTCTTTCCGTCATATAACAGCTCTCCCTGACTTAGGCAGCCTGGTGGTTCCCATTTGCAAGGGCTCCCAAATAACCCATCAGCTTTAGCTGTACTGTGACTCAAAGACCCTGAAGAGATCCCTCATTCTCAGCCTCTCTAGGAGCAGGAACAAAATGCACTATCATTCCTGGACTCTATCTTCTTCAAATAAGAATAGAGCAATTTAAGTATCTTTTTTGGTTATATTTCAATCTTCCAATATGGTCTGAAATGGTAACCAACAAATCATAGAACAAAAAGCCTCTTTTTTTAAACATTGTAATGTTTTTAAACACTTTTTTTTGCCATAATGGGTTTGGGGGAGAAATGTTTTGTTTTTTTAAGGCATTACAAACTGGGAAGACCCTCCCTCAAAAATAAAAACAAACCTTGCTGCACCAGGCAAAAACAGATCTGCAAAGACAGATCAATGAAGCATCATCTCCCCAAAGAAAGACAATCTCTCTAGAGGCCGACAAAATAATGTCGCCACTTTAGGGACAGATCAAGAAAAATGCCTCCTCTTCAGGGACTGACCAACAAGAAGCATTCCTCAAATGACCAGTTCCTAATGCTGGGCTCCAAGCTCTCTTATTCTAATAAGTGCTGCTGGTGAGTGTACCTGGGAAGTCACTTCTCTCTTGACTTCAGTCTTCTCATCAGTCAAATCAGGGATTTGGCCTAGGTCAGAGGTTCTTAACCTAGGGTCTAGAAACTTGGTTCTTAGGTTGTTGGGGGTTTTTTTCAATATTTTTTAATATTTTGGTAACTGCATTTCAAATAATTAATTTCCTTTACAATTCTACATATTTTATGCATCATTTTGAGAGTGGGTCCATTGCTATTGTTGTTTGTCCTTCATTCTCAAAGAGGACCATCAGGGAGGTGATGCCACGACTTGCAAGTGAATTAGATTTAAGTGAGGAAGGGCTGTGCAAAGTCACCAGCTTTGCCTTCTCCTCTGCAGCCATCTGGTTCCAGTGGCAAGATACATATCAGGATTACTGGACATGGCCCCAGATGCAGTGGGACCTTGGCCTTTTTTAAGTTAAGGTCTTTTCCAGCTCTCAGTTTGACTGAGACAACACCCATTCAGTGATTAAGGCTAGGTAAGAAATGAGGCAAAGAATGGCCTCTTTTACCTAGTCAAAAAAAAAATCAGTCTGGGAGGGGAAGACCCCCAGGGTTTCTGGACAAACTAGAAGCAGCTGCTATTTACACTCCCTCTGAGTCATCAGGGCCCAAACAATGACCAAGTCAGACTTGGGCTGGGACCTAGTATTGGCCAAACAATGACAACCAGAGTGATTTGGGTTTAAGGGATGGTCCTCAAGAAAGAAATCTAGTTTGTAAACCCCAAGATGTCTTGCAAGGTTTCAGTGATCAAAATTTACATTCCTTTGGGCAGAGTACCAACAAGTAAGGGTGTAATACCCTATGTGAACAGAGTGAGATGAGGGAGGGAGAGAAGGAGGGAAAGGAGGAAGGAAGGAAGGAAGGAAGGAAGGAAGGAAGGAAGGAAGGAAGG